CTGGGGCAGCGGGTGATCACATTTAAAAAACAAAATAAAATACAGAGAACGAATTGCTTGCCACAGACATCAGTGATCTCTTGGTAATGGTGGAAATTTCTTTAAACTTTCCCAACAGAAACCCTGCCCTCTGACTAACCCAAAGTGCTGGAGAGAAGATGACCAAGTGACTTGATCTCTCAACCGGAAACGTACTTTCCTACCTAGAAATTGAGCGCAATGTGTTTAACGACCAGATGCCTGCAGCCTGTCTGCATGCCCACTCTGCCCCCCAGAGGCCCAGGGACATCCCTCCCCAGTCTCTACAGCCTGTCTCAGAAGGCCACAGCCCCCTCCCCGCGCCCAGGCTCAAGTGGGTTTCACAGTCCCAGGGGAGGACCCTGAGGCCTGGGCCACGTCCTGATGCAGAGCTAGTCACGCTGCACACAGACACATCTCTCAGGGTCACCAAGGTCATGGCTCACGGTGGGTCTTCCCCATGGCAGGAGGTGGCATGGGGTGAATTTCACAGAAGAGGCACAGAGGAGTCCCCCGAGCTGGGGACGCGCAGTCAGGCGGATGTGTGGAAGGGAGGGGGTTTGCTGACTCCTGAAGCACGCTGCCTCTGGGCCAAGGCTGCAAGGCCAAGGCCAGTGGTCTCTTCCCTGAGTGGCAGATGAGGCCCCCGGGGCTGGGAAACCATCTTCATGACACCTTCACCTGGAGAGTCCCTGCACTAGTCCTGTGAGGTGGGCTAAGCCAGAAGCAGTGTTTCCTTTCTACAGACGAGGGAACCGAGGCTCAGCGTGGGGAGGCCACGCACCTGGAAAGGGTCAGAGACAGGATGGGAAGCAGGTTCCTGACCCCTAGGTAAGTGTCTTCCTTCCACACAGCACTGCTCACCCTCAGTAGGGGAGCCCTGTTCTTAGGCTTTCACAATTGTGGGGGCAGTTCCCTCTTCTGAGCCAGGGATGGCTGAGGACAGAATGCTTTCACTCGGAGGGAAGGCCTTGCAGCCTGGCTTAGAAATCCAAGGCTAATCAGATCCTAGGCCATCTGGTTCCCCAGGATCTCCAGGGGAAGTGCCCAGGCTCAGGCCAGACCCACAGGCTCCCTCCCCTTGCTGTGGGTTCATGGCACAGCTCCCAGGCTGGCCACACCCCTGCACGTGTGTGTGGGATTTCCCGGGGACGCTCCGCCTCCTTCCTCTGAGGCAGGGCAGCTCTAGAGGCCTCTGCTGGGCAGACAAACTGGAAGAGGCTTCCTTCCCTCGGCAGGGTGAGCCCAGGTCCTCCTGCCACCACCCAGTCTCCCTCTGTTATAGCTGCCCCTTCCCAGCTATTCCTACCAAACAAGACGCAGACGAGAGAGCTCAGAGGGATCTCACAAAACACCGGGGAGAGCCACAGAGGCCCCCCCCCACTACCATTCACAGATTTTGCCCCATTTCCGAATCAAAGGTCAGAGCTGGGGGACCTCTGCCAGCCACTTCTGCCCTCATTTCAGGACCAGCATCTTCATCCTGTCTAGCTGTCTGCCCCCAGCAGGCTTTGACGGAAAACTCAAAGGTCCTGGATTCAAAAACCTCTGTCCTGCCTGACACTGTCCTGTCCAATCAAGACAACACAGTGTTGCCTGCTAATAGCGTCCAGACCGTGGCTGCCAATGGAACTGCCCTTTTGGACTGCAGACCCTCCTCCTCTGCAGAGATGGACTGGGCTGGAGGCGGGTCCCCCCCAGCCTGCCCATCCCTGCCTCTCTAGTTGGCTCAAGAACACCAATTCCCTTGATTTGTGAGTTCCAAGTCTTCCCTGCTGGGACTTAAGTCAGAACCTTCTGGAATAGCACACTGTTCCCCTCTGCACTTAATCAGACCCCAATCCCACTGTTTCTCCAGCTTGTGCATCGCCCACCTTCATTCTGCCATTGTCTCCCCTTCCTTGGGAGGGTGAACCCCACACTGGGCTGGTGAGTCTGTGCCCCTCTGCCCTTTCCTGGCCAGCACGTGCACATCAAAGGTGCCCTCTCTTCCCAGAGGCCCCAACGACATCAGGTAACATCAGCACAGACATTAGCAGTGGGGAAACTTGTAAGTATGCGTGCACACGCACACCAGCCAATAACATTAAGTGTCATTTTTAAAAAATGAGTTAAATAAGCAGCATCGCGGAAGATGGCCATGCCGGGCTGATTATCCCGAGTTTGCACGTTCTGGTGGTGGGAAGGCTAGAAGTCTAATGACTGAATTATCGCCCTAATGCCTTTTGCTGGCTGGGAATAATCCTGGGGCAACAGCTGCCGCAGGGTTTTTGGCTGGTTTCCTCTAATTGCATCCAGATTAAGGAAGCCGTATAAGGGCGGGCTTTCTCCATCCCTCCGGAGCAGTGGGACCTCACAGAGCCCATATACCCAGGTCTTCGGCTTTTTGAGGTCCTGGCTGCTCCACGAAGTCCAGACCACACTGGGGCCCGGCCCAGCATACAGAATGCGAGGTGGGAGCAGTGAAGGCGGGGGTGGCACTTGGTACAAGGTCTTGGGGAGCTGTGAGGGTGAGGGGTTGTGGGAGCTGGGAGGTTCAGAATGAGTACTTTCCACCCAGGACCCTCAAAGTGAGGTAACCCGGGACCCCTCTCCCTCCACCCCACACAGCAGCCCAAAGGCACAAGGTATCAGAAAATGTGCAGATGCACTCTGGCTACAGAAGAAGGGAGGGGAGCACTCTTTTCCCCGCTTAGACATCTCCAGTCCCTTCAGGAGGAAGTCATGCCCCTGGTAAAAGGCGAGTTCCAAAACTGTTATCTGGACCAGGATTTTGTGGCGGTAATGTTTTGTTCTAGCTCCCTACCTGGCTCCTCACCCCTCCCTGAATCCCTAGCCCCTAGGCATGTGACTTCTCTTACTGCAGAGGAAGGTCTATTTCCCCACCCTTAGATGCTGAGTCTGGCCATGTGACTGGCTTTGGCCAATGGGATGATGAGAAGGGGTAGCATCTGTCAAGGCTTGGGAAGGTGCCTACACACTTCTGATTCTGCACCTTTGCCTTGGCCGGGACTGGTTTGTGGGAAGGATGCAAGAGGCATGGAGCAGAGCCACATCTGACCTCTACACACCTCTACATGTGTGAGCACCCTGTTGGGACTTAATAGCCCAACCCAGACCAGAACTGCCCAGCTGGAGCTGCTGCCCCACAGACCCAAGGGCTAGCTAAGTGCATGCTATTTGAGGCTGCCATGTTTGGGAGCTATTTGTTACGCAGCATTACTGTGGCAATGGGTAACTGATATGCCTGTTCATGGAGATGTGGTCTCTAGAGGAGGGTCAACACAGTGCCTGTGTAACTCAAGTCACCTCCATAATGGATCAGGAGCCATCCTCTGGATGGAAAGGCAATCCTCTTTTCCCAGAAGCTGAGCAGATGAGAAGTCTATCCAGCCTGGACCCTGCTACTGGACTATAATGGTCGGTACCCCAAGATCTGGGCATTGATGGGGCTCCAGGACAGTCTCCCCAAAAGGCTCTTGGACAGGGGTGTCAGGAACCTGGAAGTACCAGTGTCAGTCTTCTGCCCGCTGGAGGACATGGGTTCATAGAGAAGCTGAGAAGGGAAGAGGCTGATAACTTCCTCCTTCCTGTTGATAAACAACTTTTTAAAGTGGCGCCATCCAGCAGCGTCCACTCTGTGAGAAAAGCTGAGGGCAGGAAGAAGCCTTGGTTGGGCTGTGTCTTTGTGATGACTCTCAGCACTTCAAGGATTTTTCTCTCTAGAAGGATGTTCAGGAAGATTCAAGGAACATCGATTCCAGGCTCCTTGTTCCTGTCAGTTCAAGAGGGCGGCTTCCCGTGCAAATAGCTCCAGTCCTCTCTGCTGGCTGGGAGTCTTCCTGTGTCCTTGTCTGTCCTCTAAACCCCAGAAGGAGCAGCTGGGGAGCCTCTGGGAGCAGGGAGAGTGTGCTGGGAAGACCTGGTTCCCACACAGAAAGCAGGGGTGCCCTGAGTGACGGCTATTGTACAGCGGTTGCTCGCGCATCTGACCACCTGAGACGCTGACTTACAGAAGACCTGCAGTCACGGCAGAACGCAGACCCCGCAGGGAAGTGGGAGTGTTTCTGGCACTTTCAGCTGCCTTTGTCTCGGTTGGTCAGTTCACACTGTGTCCCTTCCCTCAAACACTGCGGATTCCCTTCAGAGAATTTTGCATGCACACAAACACATACACACCTCGACCCATCCAACCCCAAGTTGGTCGCAGTATTTGGTGAAAATGGCCTTCAACACTGCCGAATGTAGACGATTCTTCAACTAAGGGAGAAGAATTCAACACTTCAACAGCCCGTACTCAGGCTCATGGGCAGCATATTTCTTCACATACCAAGAGGATCAGATGTTGAAATGGACAGTATGAAAGCCCCCAGCCTTCTGCTCTTAAACCTTTCTATCCTGAAATCAGTGGGGCCTTTTTTTTTTTTTTTGGCAGATGTCTTCACATCAGCTTTGCAGTTGTGGCTGGAGAAGCTGTGGAGTCTGTTTGATTCATTCAAAGAATGAAGCCTAATGAGGGGGTGTGCCCAGTTTGCAAAGATGTTTCTGGGCCTGGATGGGACCCTCTTGTTCTGGGCTCCCCAGTGCTGTCTCTCTCCTACTGTCTCTGCCTTTCCCAATGCCTGGCAATAAGACCCCTGGTGGCTGACGAAGCTGGAGGAACTCCTGGGTTGTGTTGAGATCCATCAAAGGTGGGCAACACGAGAACCCAGCCAGCCTGCATCTCCAGGTAGGGTGGTTGTGCATCCTGGTCCTGCTGTCTGGGGAGCCAACTTTTCTCTGGGCAGCTGGCAGGTTTTATTTCTGGCACTTCCGGACTCCAATTTTGTCCTTAATACGAAAAGTTTCCCTTCATGTTGCTCAAGGGCATTTTCCTTCCGTTTCTACCATCCTGTCCCCTCCACGCCCATCCCCACCCCCTCCCCCATGCTTGGGACCTGGCGGAGGTCCCCTCACCCCTCGCCCAGCGCAGGGAGCCCAGCCTATCTGCGGAAACTAAAGCCTTCTCGGGGCGTCTTTGGACCCTTCCTGCCTTCTCTGGGGGGCTTGGGGGAAGGTGTCTCCACGGTACCCCCGTACGGGCAGCTTTCCGACCCTGGGTGCTGGCCCGTACACTCCACGGCAGGCATGTAACCGCTGTCCCACATGCCAGTCCCACACAGCTTGCACAAGTCATGCAGGCTACAAGGGATCCGCGGCAAGAGGCGAAACTGGTACAGCAAACTCCTCGCCTGCAAACAGAGAGGACAGTGATGATGAGGGACAGCGGGCAGCTAGTGATCCAAGAGCAACAACAGTCAGCACCCGAAGGTGCTCCTTACGCCAGGTCAGGGCGAGGGCTCTGCCTGCCTCACCCCTTTCAACACCCTGATCCAGCTGAAGGCAGGGGCTATAAAGTTTCACAAGCCGCGCTCCCATGCAGCTCGACCCAAAGATGGCTCCCCTAATGGCCTTCATATGAAAGGTGAACAGGGCCCACCCTGTCCCTCCCTGGCTTAGCCTGGCCCCATGGCTCCACCTCTCTGCCCTGCAGGACTTCAAGCCCTCTTCCTGCCCAATCCACCCCTGACCCCAGGCCTTCCTCGCTGCCCCTGGAAAACACCAGAAAGCTTTAAGAAGCAGGAGCCTGGGAAGTAGGGAGGTGGCAAAGGCCCCCTTTATCCCACTAACCTTGGATGAAAGGTTGGCCACCTCCCCTCCCTAAGCCTCCTGCTTAGTTTTCTCAGCTCTGGGCTATGAGTGAGGTGCCTCACGGTGGAGGACCTGTCTGTCAAAATGGGTAATCTGTTCCTTCCACGAGGAGAGGGGCCTCTTTTGTCAGCCTGATGGGTACCCTGAGCAGATGCCATACATGCTGACCTTGGTGGGGAGCTCCCAGGATGGAGAGTTGGGGCGGGGCTCTGCATGTGGGCAGGAATCTACAAATGTTGGGGGTGGAGCTTGTAGGGGGCCCTGTAGGGGTGGAGCTCTGGAAGTAGAGGTGGGGTTCTATATAAGGGAGGGCAGGGCTGCATGTTGGGGGCCACACTCACCTTCCTGAGAACAAGCTCCCCATTCATGTGCATGGCCAGGTTTCCAAAGTGCAGAAGCATCTGGTCAGTGGCCAGCTGCTGCTCTATGACATCATCCCCGTAGATGGCCACGATGGCCACGCAGATGAAAAGGTGGAAGTAATCTGTCTGGGGGTAGAGAGTGGGTTCAGATAAGGCCCCTGACCCAGCCCTGGGTCCTGACTGCTGGTAGAGGCCACAAGCAGAGCTGTGGGGTCAAGGGCTCCCAGGTGAGGCCGTCTGGGTTGGTGTGGCCCTAGGCAAGCCTAGCAGCCTCCTCAGTTTCCCCATCTGCAAATGGGCCAGTGTCAGCACCTACATCCAAAGACTGCTGTGATGCACAAAAGGGCAATGCTGGGGCCAGTCACCAACAGGCTGCTGGTCCCCTTTGGGGAGCCCTCTAGGAGCCGCTCCAGCACATGGGCAAAGAACATGCTCCTCTGAAGCCTGGCTACTACCCATTCTGGGGTCTTGAGAGATGATGAGTCAGAACATGCTCTAGTGGGTGGTGGAACATGCTATCAAGGAAGAAGAACTTTCCGGCAGCCACCCACTGGTCATTGTGCTCCTGCCTCAAGGCCAAATGTCCCAGCTTGTGCCCCAGAGATGACTCTTAGGTTTGTTGGTAAGAAAAGTGGGGCGGAGAGCCTCAGAGCCAAGCACAGCAGCTCCCCATAGTTCCCTACAATGAGCCCACCCTCTTTAACCAGATTTCAGGCCCATTGAGGACTCCGCTGCCTTCCCTGGAGGCTGCCTCACATTTTGCTACCCAGCAAGCTGGGCCTGCAGCAGGATGCTGGCGCTTGGTCCTCACGGGGTACATCCTGTGTGCTCTCCAGCCCGGATGCTCTGAGGGCACACCGCCTTTGAGTCACACTAGCTCCCGGGGGCAGAGGAAGGACAAGGACCACCAGGAAGCCTGTGTTTAGTCTCCTGACGTCGGCCACCCAGCCAGACAGAACCCTGTTCCTTCCCAAACAGGGGCAGGCAGAGCCTTGGATGCGCAGGCAGAGGTTACGGGCAGCAAACACCCCACATCCCACCCACTCTGGAAAGGCCATTCCCAGACTGCCCAGCCCCTTCCTCTGAATTAATCTGGAATGGTCTTGCTGTGGCTCAGAATGATCCTTCTGCAGCTATTTGAATTGCAGCTGGGGCTGGTGGGGTGGGGTGGAGGGGACAGCGGAGGAGTTCCAGGAAGGTTCATGTCCAGCTCCTCTGGGAGAGGACTTTGGGGAAGAAAAGGGGGCTGGATGGCAGTACCAGACTAACCCCAGTTCACTGGACTAGGCCCAGGGCAGCCCATCCCCCAAGGGCAAACTGGAAGTATAAAAATGAATAAAACAGAGCCCTTCACACTCTGGGGACACTTTAAAGTTAAACCAGCTGGTAGTGACCACCCCTCACCCCCAGCCAGAGCTCACTCTAATGAATTAGCCTACCCCCACTACCATCATCCTACTGTCCCCCGCCTCAACCTCCTGCCACTAATTTGATCAAGGGGTGTGGCCAAATGAGGCTAAATTTAGCCTAAGAAATGGCCCCATCTGTTGGGTGATGCTCTGGGTTCACATGTAACATTAGCCTAAATGTGATGTCCCGAAGGTGGCAAATTTGCTGCTAGAAAAAAACGCAATGAGGCTTTGTGCAAAGCGGACACAATTTTAAAAAAAAATATGATCCAGTGTTTTGGACCATCCTTGCCAGTGCTTCCTAGATTCCACTCTGCAGTACACACAGAGCAGGCTGATCCACACAGGAAACACAGCTCAGACCTGGGCCGGGAGGGAACAGGAGAGGAGGTGGGCGAGGATGGATGAATACAAAACAGCCCGTGGCACCAGCAGCAGGCTTCTTCAGACTCACTTCTATCAGACATAATCCTTCTTCGACACTAGTAAGGAAGGCAGACGCTGATGCACATTTCTGAGGGCTGGTGGGCGTGCGCATCTATCAGCAAGGTTTGTCTAATCCAAGCTGCGCCGCTGCCGAATGAAGGATGGAGGCCGCTCTTGCAGAAATGGTCCTGGCCACCTCTCGGATGCGTCAGTACTATTTTTTTTTTTTCTTAAGGCTGATGGATTCAGAGAGACTTGCCTATCCTTTAACATGGCCTGCTTGTTGCTAATTTGGGCGTTAAAGCCGTGTGACAGGGCCAGCGTGAGGCCCTCTCAGGGGAATTTGTTGAGGAGATGCTGATAACGAAGGACGACAAGGGGAAATCACGTCCCTGCGAGGCGACAGTGGGTGGGGCCTGGGCTCTCAGAGGGGCTGACAGGGAAGCAGGATCTCAGGGCCCTTTCCCTGAGCCATCCCGAGGTGGGCAGGTGGGCGGGTGCTGGGCCTGGCATGTGGGCACCAGCGTCCTGCTTGGTCCCGCAAAGTCTTTCATGCTGATTGGTTGTGACAGGAGCGTGCTCAGCCCCAGAACGTGGTAATGAGAACGGTCAGCGGGCAATTTGCATCGATTTCAGTTACTTGGGAGGCGAGATGCGGGGTCGGAGGCTGGCCACGTGGGACTAGAAGGCAGTCGCTGTGTGAGGGGCTGAATGTGGCCTGTGAGGGGCCAGGGATGGTGGAACAAGGGGACCCCAGAGGAGGTGCCCGGTTATGCGGGCACCCTGCCCTCCTCCTACGCCAGGTGCGGGACCTCTGTCCCAGCCCCCAGCCCTGGGCACCCTGCTTGGCTCACCTGGTAGTGGGCCCAGCAGGCCTCCCAGATGCGCAGCGCCTCGGCCTCGGGAAACTCCCGCTTGAAGCACAGCAGGAGCCAGCGGTGGCAGAAGAGCATTTGCAAGCCGTCCTCGCCCAGTGAGACCAGATGCTGGTAGAAGCGTGCGTGGGTCAGCCGCAGAAGCTCCCGCAGGTACAGCTGGGGGCGAGGCCAAGAGGAATGAGCCCCCTAGCCCCGAGCGGGCCTGCCTGCCTGGCCCCAGAAGCCCCCTCCCGCCGAGGCCCTTCCCCATTGGGGCCCCCCCACCCCTCAGAGCAGGTGTGCCACACATGAGGTCTCTATCTGCTTCATGGGTCTGCACCCACTTATTCTGTTCTGTCCCTGGAAGTCCGACTCACATCTGTCTTGGTCAGTTTAGCCCAGATTTCGGACTGTTCCGGAGGCTGTAGCAAGGGACAGCAAGAGCAACCTGCTGTGGCCCAGGAGGTGGGTGGCAGGTCTGAGGCTAGGAAGACCTCTTGCTCTCAGGCACCACATGGACCATTTCTGATGCCCCCTCCTCCCTGAGATATCGAGCAAAGCATCCTTTTGACAACGCGCCCTCCCCCTCACCCACTCAACCACCTTCCGCTCTGATCACCTAGATTCATCATCTCCCAGAGCTGATTCAGAGCAGAGAGTGGGGGCGTTTCTGAACCCTGAGAGGCTCAATTCCTGTGCTCAGGTCACCACCCAGTGACGTGGGACCAGATTAAGGCTATTTCTGGCAGCGCCTGGCTTGGGCTGCTGACTTCACCAGCACTGTTGTAAAATCGATCTCCAGCAGCTAACGAGTCACGGGGCCATGTGCTGCGGAGCCGTCAGCGGCGAATCACGTCAGAGCCCGTAATTGCCTCCCCAGGTACCGTGGAAACCTGACATCACAGGGCCGACACAGAGAGCGGGGAGTGAGCAGGCTCGGCTGAGATCGCAGCCGGGGGATCCTGCGGGGGGGGGGGGTGTCTTGGTGACTCACAGGCCCCTTCCCACACAAACAGCCCATTGTTCCTACTGAGACTGCCACTGGGGTGGCACAGAAACTGATTCTGAAGATCCTTCCAGACTGGCCAGTTTCTTCACCCACTGGCCCACAGCAGGGTCAAAAAGTCCACACAAGCAGCTGACCCCCTTCCTCCCTCCCTCATGGATGCCCCCCACCCCTACTTTGGTGCCCCTTACCTTCCCCTTTCGTCCCCATCTCCCTGCTCCTGGCTCCCTCCCCTCCAATCCCCCTGCTGTGTCCTGCTCTCCCATCCACAGTCCTCATCAGCTTCCCAATGGCTAGTCAACAGGAGTGTTCCTTGGTCTGGCATTCGAGGCCCTCCATTCAGCTCCAGCCTCATTGCATGTGAGCCACCAACCTGAGCGGGCCACCCAGTGTCGCTGCCCAAAAAGCCCTGCTCAGCCAAGTCTTGGCAGGCCTGGCAATGCTCAGGGCCAGACCCCGTGTGCCGTGGAGTCAGTCTGGCCCAAGGGGACACGGGGACTCCTGTCTTGGTTCCCTCTGTATCACCAGAGCTCTTTCTGTATCACTCCCTAGCATACCCAGCATCCTGCCCTTGCACTATCAGCTTCCAGGCTGAGAATCTCTCAGACTGGGGACCCGAAACCACATCCTAGTGCCAGCAGCACCTGACAGGTGATTGGAGGGCACAAGGAAGGGAAGAGTGGGCACTCCTGGCCCCATCTCTCCCAGTTTTGCCTCCTCACTCCCAATTTTCAGTGCTGCCTGGTCTGTGTAGGTTAGCGGGGGCCATGGTGGGAGGAGTACTGCCTGGGCACAACAGGCCTGCTGCCCTTGAGGTGGGGCTGTGATGACTATCCAGTGGGCTCAGGGTGGTTTCAAGAGCCCCTCCCATTCCCATCCCTCAGAACCCTGGTTATGCCCCCTGTGGGGGACCCAGATGCACCTGAGAACACGTTTTATAAAGCACAGGGCCAGGTGTGATAGTGACCCCTTCCCCCCTGGGAACCTGGGTTACGATGCCACATGCAGGGAGCGGGGAGGCCACATGAGGAGCTTCTGGACTGCAGGAGTGTGAGGTGGGGATGGCAGCATATGTCCTGGGACCTGGGAACAGCGTGTGTCCCTCCTGGGGGAGCTGGCCCTAGTCCATGGGCCCAGGGCTAAGCCCCCCAGAGTCCACCAGCAAGGCCCACCTTGGCTTTCCTGCTGCTTGGTGACCCACAGCAGCTGAGCCACACACATCTGAGAGCCTCACCAGCTGTTTCTCCATGTCCTCGTCCCGAGGAGAGCTGACAAAGATTGTGTTCTGCATCAGACCCACAAAGCACCAGAAGGTGTCTGACTCGTCCAGGACCTCGGCCAGGATGGGGGCCACCAGGTCCGACATGCCCTGGGAGTAGCCGATGGCTGGGTTGTACACCGCATAGTTCAGCAGGATCCTCCTGGAGACGCAGTGCAGAGAGCAGGGAGGTCAGTGGAGGGTGGCCATAACATAGCAGTGTGTTGTCTGGGCCAGTAGAACCCCAGGCTGGAGACTCTGGGCTCTCCTGGACCCCATCCTTCACCTTGATCTTAGAGGAAGGAGAGCAGCTCCCAGCATCATCTCCAGAGCTTGGGGAAAGGTAAGAGGCTGCACTTAGGCACTCACCAGCCCCAATCCTCTAGAGCAGAGCAAGGAGAAATGTGGATCTGATTTTCTTAATGGTCGACTGCCTGTGACAAAGGGTGAGCTGGCAGGGACGTTTTTTATGGGCTTCTAATTTTGTGCAATTATTTGCCAGGAGGCAGCAGAACGTCAAAGATGCTAGCCTCAGCTCCTGTGAGACTTGATCTCCCAGAGGACCACCCAATGGGAGAGGGAGACACTCGGGAGAGGCGGGTTCACAGTTGGTGTGGGCCAAGAAAGGTTAGGCTTGGTGGATGCCTAGGGGGCGGGGCCTTTGCTGGTACATTTGGGAGGGGCTTCCAGGCCTTCCCCTGCGTCACTAGGACAATAAGGGGCCCATTGACATTGTCTGAAATAGCTAAGGACTCTCTGATTCTGGGGCACTGAACCTAGAAGGAAGATCCTTGACCCCTGCAGAAGCTTCTGCGGCTGGTCTACTTCCCAGAGGGTCAGCTGAGACCTGAGGGGTGAGATGAGGCTCCGGGGCAGCAAATGGGAGTGAAACCCAGTTGGGAAGGAACCCTGCTGGCCGGGTAGGCGGTACCTCATGCTCTCCACGTTGGGATTGCCTTCGCCTCGGAAGAACTGGTTGCTCCGATCTGTCCGAACCACATCCTTGTCCACGGTGAACTGCACGTTCCGCCAGAAAGCTCTGTGCTCTTCAGGGGTCATGGAGAGCCTGGCACGGACCAGAGAGCCAGCTGGGGGGTCAGCAAGCGTCCCACCCGCTCCAGGCCGCCAGAGGCGCCCCTCCCCGCCCTGCTCGAAGATGGGAACTGGGGTCACTGGCCAACCCTCCAGCTGCCCCTGACACCGGACAGCGTAGGGGCATTGTGCACAAGGCTTTCCCAAATTAACTCGGCCTCACCAGTCCCAGCGTCTGGGGGAGAGCTACCGAAACTACAGGGTCAGGGAGGTCCAAGAGACCTCAGCAACCCCAGTTCCCAGCTGCCCTCCTCTCGACCCCCGCCCCGCTGCCACCCCGGCGTTCAGTGGTGGGATGTCAGCGCCTCGTTAAGTATGTTGAAAAAAGAATTCTAAAACCTTGACATGCGAGCTAAAGAGAGCCAGTCCTGGGGCCGGGAGCGGGGGTAATGACTGCACTTATCCAGACCCATCGCTCACAGTCCTGGGAGACCCATTTTCCAAGGAAACTATGGGTCACGGAACATATTATCAATGCTGAATTGCACCTCAAATTGCCTTTCCAAATGGCATTTCCCTCCGCGGCTCCGGAGGGGGGGCGGGGGTTTCCCCTCCGCGGTTCGAGGGGGCCCTGGTCGGGCGCCGCGGTCACCTTTTCTGCTGGATCTCGGCGTATTCCTTTCTCTTCTGCACCCGCAGCGCCTCCCTTTCCTCCGACGTAGACTCGTGGCTGTAATAACGCAGCAGGAAGGGCCAGACCTCCCCTCGGATTGACACATCAATGCCGCCGAAGAAAATGGCCTGGAGGAAGCGGCAAAAGTTGGGGAGGGGCCAAAGCAGGACCGCTCAAAGCACCCCCAAGTCCCCGGAGATCTGTGTTTTGGTGGCTTTGCTGCGCCTTCTTGACAACTGATGCCTTGATTCAGATCGCTGCAATTTGCACATGTTTAGAAGGGGAAAGTGCCGGCCCCCCATTCCCATACAGGACACAAACCAGGCTCATTTCAATGTCAATGCCCCCCCCTGGTGCGGCGCTCAGATTAACCTGTCGTTCTCACGTCAGGGCCTTAATCCCGGTTTTGGAATCGCGGGCGCGGGCTGCGAGCTCTTCTATACACGCTGTCGCGGGGTACCCAGAACCCGCTCCGGAGGTTGCTTTTTCATCGCAGCGGCTTTGATCGCTCTATCCGGCGCGTTCACACAGCCGCTGGCGTCAGCGGACGGACCTCTTCCCGCCCCCGAAGCCCGGCCGGAGGCGGCGGCCCGTGGGCGCGGCCCCGACCGCTGGCCTCAAAGCCGCGGGGCCCGCGGGCGCGCCGGGCCTCACCTTGCGGAGCTTGTACTCCTCTTCCACTTGCCCCAGAGCATTCAGGTGACGGAGCCAGGCCGCCACGTCCAGCCGTCGGTACATGCTCTCCTCGGGGTGCGTCTCGGAAGACGGCAGCTTGGGACGCCGGATGGAGAACTGCATACACGTCTTTTCGTCGGCGACCTGCTGGACGCGAGGACCGTCGGGGCGGGGGGTCGGGGGTGTGTATCAGTGGTTCAGACGCTCGGCTTTCGAAGCCAGCCCGCGCTCTTCGCGGGATGTCAACGCCTTCCCCCCTCCCCTCTTCTGAAAGGAGAGGGACGCCTCTCCCCCGCATACAAACCCCTAAATGGCAAGTGTAATTAGACGCAATTAAAATGAAAATACCGTCCGCTTACCATGGTCCCCCCTCGCGCTCCCGGCTCCCGGCCCACTCCCACCGACCGCCTCTCCCCCCCACTCTCCCTCCGGCCCCGCCGCAAAGACGGAATTAATGCCTGGGACGGCCAACTTCCCTCTGCCGGGAGGGCCTGCAATAAATTACATGTGATTGGCCACATACAAAGGGATGGCTGTTCTGCGAGCGGGGAGCCCGCCTGTCAGGTTGTCTCCACGGGCAGTCACGGATCCAGGGCAAAACTGCAGCTGACATTTAATTCAAAAATCAAAGGTTGTTCAATGTAGGGGGGAAAAAAAGCCATGCTACTGTAATAAGGGAAGCCAGCAGGAGGCTCTGTGGGAAGGAAAGGAATTTTAAAGTCAGCCCGTTTCTAATAAGCACATACACTATCTTAAACAGATAATTAAAGAGCTCTTATTACATTTGTATGTAGATTGAGGAAAATATGGCAGGAAGCCTTGTCAAAACATGATTTTTCAAGTGCGGAGTACTGCCTTTACCAGAAGCCTGGGCACATGTTTTAAACCCAAAGTTGCTGTTCTGTTGGCCCCCAGTGACCACAGGTCACACCCTTGAGGCCTGGGACTCCAAGGAAGAGAGTGGGTGTCCTGGGCCTGGTTGGAGGTGAGGCAGGAAGGGAGGGGAGCGGAGGGGTGGGTCTCAGCAGCCAGATGTCTCCGGGGTGGCGTCAGGGCCTCCTCATTGGGGGAGGTCAGCACCCATTCCCCACTCCCTGGCTACCTGGTCTTTGAGGTGCGTCTCCGTGCAGTATTTCCACTGCTGAAGCACGTCAGGCAGCTTGTCCAGGCCACCGTGGTGGAAGTGGAACACCTTGTACTGGCTTTCCCGACTGGCGACGACCAGCTGGCCACTGGTGCAGGCCTCATCGCTGAGCGACCATTGGATGGGGGGAAGAGAACAGATCCATGAATATGTAAACATGGGTTTTTATTTCCAAGTATAATCGAGGCCGCTATCACCCGACCTCAGAGGCAGGAAACAGAAAGTCCCCCAGGAGTTTGGTTGCTGGCAGGAAGCAGACAGAATTATGTCCCCACAGAAGCCATCACCCTCTGCTGAAGAAGGCGAAGCAGCTCCCTCCTGGGGAGGCCCCAGGTGGGACTGTCCTCGCCCCGGGAGATCTGCCAGAGCAGCCTTCAGTCCCCGCCCCTGCTGGCCAGGTCACATCTTCCCTTCTGTCCTGGATATCATGCAGATATCATGGAGATATCATGATATCATATCATCCATCTCCTAGGGGTGGATGCCCTGACATGGAATCAGATTTGGAACCCAGATGGGTGGACACTAAGGGACTCCCCTCCAGTGGGCTTTCCATCGAGCACAGAAGTCACTCTGGGAAAATCCTCCAGGGAAATCCACTATACATGCCTCGGGGCCATCGCCCGACCTTGACTGCCCTTCCCTGAAAGGCGGGATGGGGCTCTGGGTCTGGGAACCCCCCCAGAGACACAACTGCTTCTTTGAAGCACTGGTCTTTGGCTGGTGCTGTCCTGCAGCTTTCAGGAAGAGAGACATGAGGTGGCCGTTAGGCGGGGGACTGAAAGGGATGGTCCCCCATCATGAAGGAAATGGTGCCTCCCTCTAGAAAGCCATAGCCTGTCCTGAACATGCATGGAGCGGTTGGGCCTCTGATTGGGTGACCGGGAGCTGCCTGCAGCCACTGCTGTCTGTGTAGCCCCGGTTTGTCATCTTCCCCCAAACCAGAGCTGCAAGCAACAGTTGCTACCATCACGCTGAAGGCAGAGGAAAGAGTTTGGGAGCTACCCAGACCCGGCTCCCGCGGGGCAGCCACCATGGGGCACTGCCGAGAGGGCACTAATGATGCTGGGAAGCAGACGGTTGGGAACGTCAGGCTCCTAGACCCAAGCACAGCGTCCCCCCGGGAACACGGCCGGCGCACAGGCAGCTTCCAGGACATGGCCAAGAGGGCCTCACCTGAAGAAGAGGCGGAGGGAGCGCATCTGGCCCAAATCCACTCGGAACACGCCACAGATCTGCTCCAGGGCGCTGGCCCTCTGCGGCTCATCCCAGCGCGGGGGCTGCAGGAGGCCGCTGCCGTCCGGGAACTGCAGAGGGGCATCCACGCTGGAGGGGGAGCTGGTGGAGCAAGTCATGTGAGGGCCAACGTGTCTGTCATGCAGTCATGGGGGGAAGGGCAGGGAAGGCTTGGGGAAACCGTTTAAACATGTGTGTCTGCTCAGAGACAAACCGGAGCACATCGTGCACAGAGAGGTTCTCCATGAACAGCCATGAATGAATTAATGAATCCCATCACAGCACTTTTTGTGACCAAATTCTGTCTACCTCTGTAAAGGCACTAGGCTGTCATAATGACAGTTGAGGTCCTAATGACTAGGTTTGAGCCCTTGCTGTGTGACCCTGGGGGAAGTTAGCAAGCCTCTCTGAACCTTTGTTTTCTCCTTTGCAAAGTGAAGATAATAACAGGCCTTCTAGTAGAATGAACAGTGCTTGGTGCTGGGCACCCTGGTTTTCAAGTCTTGCTAAAAGAAGCCTGTTTCATGACCGTTTTAGACAGCATTGGGCTTCCACTTGGGTTCACACTGGTTCAGTATTTCCCTGAAAAAATATTGGTTCCATAAGGAAACATTTCAGCTGTAATGCTATTAATACTAACAGTAAACACTTAGTTGAGCCTGGCTCTGTGCTAACCACTTGCCCCGTGCTTTTTATCACATATAATCTTCACAATAATCCTAGGAAATGAGCGGTTATTATCCCCATTGTACAGAACAGGAACTAAGGCTCAGAAAGGTTAAGTAACTTGTCCAAGGTCTCACAGTTAGCAGGTGGTAGAGCTGGGATTTGAACCCAAGCTTTGTGGCGCACATCGTTACCAGTGTATTCAATGGCCTCTCAGTTCAAAGTTCAGCAATACCACCCCAATCTTTTATTCTGCCTCTTTAAAAAATTCATTGTTTTATTTGGACCCTCGGTTGCAAAATATTTTATTTCATGGAATCAGCTACACTGCAGGTAAAATGCTGTCTCTTGAGATTTCATAGTAAACTCTAGCAGATGACTGCTAAAATATAGTCAGAGTAAAGGCAAACATCGGTCCAACCCCAACATCCTGCAGAGCTAAGACTGCAGTCGCTTTATCCCGCTTTTCCTGTTTAAGCCAAGAACATAAAAGTGTCGGAGGCAATTAATCTGAAGGCACCTCTTCCTCAGATGGGCACCAGGTCTCCAAAGGAAGCTACTCGGGATTGTTCATGCACCATCTGTCTAATTCGGAAACTCCTCAAAGAGGAAGACTGGCCTTAGACCCTTTGCTGTTTCTAGAACAGCACTGGGCCTGGTGTGCTGTTCTTCCCTACCTGCCTAAGGAGGTGGGTGGAGCCAAGTCCTCCCATTTCTGAGGGGCACCTGGGGTCTCCCAGGAAACAGACTTGGGTGAAGACAGACAGCCGGACCGGGAGGAAGGCAGACAAGCTGAAGCACGCGGCCACACGACAAACTCAGCCCCAAAAAGGCTGACGGATTCCCTGTCCTCCCAAGGGGACCCTGACCGGGCTGCACTGTGCAATGATTGTTTGCAAAACAAGGCAGGCCGCAGGGCTGAAGACAGCCCCCCACCACGCAGCTTCTCGCAGCATTTCATAATCTGCTTATTGAACAATGAGGCCGCAGTGGCCAGAGAGCATGTGCTTGGCATGCTTCCCGACTGGGCCGGCCCATCCGGGCTCACCTCCAAGCCTAGCCGGAGAGGGGCCACTAAAGGGTGGCATTATTTCCAGGCCCCCTCCCTCAGCCCTTCCCACCGCCACTCCACACACACACACACACACACACACACAGCACGATCCTCTAAAATCTGCATGCTCTTCCCAACATGCTACGTGCTGCTCACCCCACGGGGCAGGCCATGGTTTGCAGAAGCCAGATCCAGGATGGACACCGGCTCTGGCAGAATCCCTGGCTGAAGCTACTGCTCCCCTGCTGTGGTGGAAGGACTGAGGCCCTGAGGGGAAGGAGCCCCAGAGAGAGGGCTGCCTGACCACAACACCTTCCTATAGCAACTTGCCCCCAGGCAGAAGTCTGCCTGAACCCTTTTACAATTCCTGTGGGGGAAATTATTTGCATTAATTAATTGATTGATTGATTAATTCAAGACCTTGTGTTGGGACCTGCAGCTGGGGTTCCACCATTCAAACTGGAGCAAAGTTGATGGAAGCTTTGGTTCTCGCTATTTCGGCCCTGAAGTAGCAGATGTCTGTACAGTCATCTAGGTCACCAAGGGCCACATCTGTTTCTGCCTCAAGATCCATTGCCATGGGGTTAAGGGCTGTATCTCATTTGCTCTTCTGCATCTCCAGCTCCCAGCACAGGCCTGGCACAGGACACAGAGATTTAATACCCGTACCTGGGATGAAAATTTTAAATGTCTGGGAATTTTAAAGTCATAGAAAAAAAACGGAAATAAAATCTTGGGAAATTTGAAATATGTATAATTTTTATTTTTTTATCTTTTTACACATGCAAAGCACTTTGGTTTTAAGAATATTCATATGTGCTGCATATAACCTGGCTTGTTCATAAAATTATAATGTGTGGTACATTAAAATTATAAGGAAGGTTTATTTAGGGCAATAACTCTCAATATGCTAGAAGTTAAAACTGTTTTATAGGTACAAAGAAGATGCTAAACTCTAAGAAATACAGCATTTTCTTTCTGAGGATCACCGACATGCAAAAATAGAAATGAATAAGAAAAGTCAACTCTGTCATCACAAAACATAGCAGATGTGTTGTCTACCTAATGATCACAGCAATGTCAGGCACAGAGTTGGGAGTTTAAATATGGCCTCAGATTCCTAGGGTGGTGTCCATTCCTCCACCCCTGAGTCTGAGCTGGTCTTTTGAGTGGCTTTAATCCATAGGATATGGTGTGAGTGACATCCTGTGAGCTCCAAAGCCTGGCCTCAAGAGGCTTCTGCATTCTCCAGCTTGGCACACTCCTACCACCAAACAAAGGTCCGTCTGGTCAAGGCTATGGTTTTTCCAGTGGTCATGTATGGATGTGAGAATTGGACTGTGAAGAAAGCTGAGTGCCGAAGAATTGATGCTTTTGAACTGTGGTGTTGGAGAAGACTCTTGAGAGTCCCTTGGACTGCAATGAGATCCAACCAGTCCATCCTAAAGGAGATCAGTCCTGGGTGTTCATTGGAAGGACTGATGCTGAAGCTGAAACTCCAATACTTTGGCCACCTCATGCGAAGAGCTGACTCATTGGAAAAGACCCTAATGCTGGGAGGGATTGGGGGCAGGAGGAGAAGGGGATGACAGAGGATGAGATGGCTGGATGGCATCACCGACTCGATGGACATGAGTTTGAGTAAACTCCGGGAGTTGGTGATGGACAGGGAGGCCTGGTGTGCTGCGATTCATGGAGTTGCAAAGAGTCGGACACGACTGAGGGAGTGAACTGAACCACCATGTAAGGAAGCGCAGGTACAAATGAGTTACCACAAGGAGAGAGAGATCCAGCTGACGCACCACAGTCTCCTAACCTCATGGACCAAGTCCATGTCAGACCCTGTACCTGGCTGAGCCCCCAGTTGGTGACAGCTGCCTGAGAAGGCCCCAGAGTGCCCAGTAGAATGGTTAGACTTGGCCCAGTCCAGCCAGAAGAACTGCGAACAAATTAAACACAGTGGTTTTAAGTTGCTAAGTTTTGTTGGAGTCCTCCATTATAGGGCTATAGATAACTGATACATACGGGAAGTGTCTGTTTTCAGAAGAAGCTCAAGCAGGAGGGAAGAAACCTCCAAAATTATTATTTTTGGGTTTTTTTTGGCTGTACCTCGAGGCATGTGGGATCTTAGTTCCCCAGCCAGAGATCCAACCCAGGCTCCCTGCAGTGGAAGCATAGTCCTAACCACTGCCTGGGAATTCCCTTCCTCCAAAATTATTGAATTGTGGTTCTCAAGGTCAAAGAGACATTGCAGCCAGACTCTAACATTTTTAAATATCCAAACTTCTAAGTTGGCTCTTGCTTTTGTTCCTTCTAAGCCTTTTGAGTCAGTTGAACAGTATGTCAATGGAACCCCAGCTGTAGGTTCCAAGTATAGTGCCTGGAATTAATTAGTCAATTAATTAATGCAAATAATTTTCCCCGCAGGAGTTGTAAAAGGGTTTAAGCAGACTTTTGCCTAGAGGCAAGTTGCTGCCAGAAGGTATGTGTGGGGCCCTCTTTCCAGGGTTCTTCCCCTTAGGGCCCCAGTCCTTCCACCACAGCAGGGGAGCAGAAGCCTTCGCCCTGGACTCTGCCAGAGTGAGTGTCCGTCCTGGATCTGGTTTCTGTAAACCTTAGCCTGTCCCATGGGGTGCACAGGACACAGCGCCTTGGGAAGGGCATGTGATTTTAGAAATCCTGCTGTGTGCATGTGGAGTAGAGGTGGGGAGGACTGGGGGAGGGAGGTTGAAATTAACGCTGCCCTTTGGTGGCCCCTCATAATTGCCAGAACTTGGAAGCAACCAAGATGTCCTTTGGCAGATAAATGGATAAACAAACCAGTACATCCAGATGATGGAATATTATTCAGCAAGAAAAAGAAATGAGCTATCAAGCCATGAAAAAGGTATGGAGAAAAGTGAAATAAGTCAATCTGAAAAGGGTACACACTATATGATTCCAAGTCTATGACATTCTGGAAAAGGCAAAACTATGTAGATAGTAGTAAAAGGATCAATGGTTGTCAGAGATTGGGACTGTGAACGAGTGAATAGGTGGAGCACAGAAAAATTTTAGGGCAGTGGAACTACTTTGTATGATATTATAGTGGTGGATATATGTCATTATACATTTGTTAAAACCCATGGAATGTACAACACCAAATGAATCCTAATATAAACTATGGGGGATAATGAAGTGTCACTGTTATAAATGTAACAAACCTAACACTCTGGTGGGGATGTTGGTGATGGGGAGGCTTTGCATGTTGTTGGGGCAGGAGGTGTATGGAAATCTTTGTACTTTCCTCGTAATTTTGTTATGAATCTAAAACTGCTCTAAAAAATAAAATCTGATTAAAAAAAATGAAAAGCCAAAGAACAAACTGAGACATACATATAAGGGTTAATATCCTTAGTATGAAAAAAGGTATGCA